CAAAAGTAAGAGTCATTCATCTTGTTACCCGTTGTTCCCAAAAATCTTATCTAATTAATCTAGCATATTTAGAAATATTATAAGTATCCGACTTGCACGTGTGTGTGCCTTGCTAGGTAAACCCACAGTAGAGTATAAAACACATACCCGGCTCTTTAAAAAAACATTCCTTCCATCTCTGCAATCGTATGAGCCGTGAACTGTAATGGCATCTTAAACTTACAGGTGTAATTTATAATGCACATAATTAAAGTAATGTTGTATCAGTCTTAATAGTGGGTGATACAAAATGTATTCTTATTAACTTTCCAAAAATATTTATTATAATAACTTTAGTTTCTGTTCCTTGAAGTACTTGTGATATGGCAATGCGACAGAACGATCAATCTGGATGAAATGGCGACTGTGCTGGCGCCGACGCGGCCGACGCACCCGACCACAGACTATATCATTATGGCCGCAATATACACTGCGAATCTTAGAACAACTTTTATATAGTACAAACGAAATTAATTTTATTATTATAGATACTCTAACGATGTGATAGTTAGCCTGTTGTAGTGTTAAGAGAGTACTTTGATGTATTATGAAAATTAAGATTATCAGTTACTAGTGAGATATATTTTTTGAATATTTATGGTTCTGTGGTGTGGTATTAATAAATGTTTAGGATTTATTAAATAATTTTCAAAACATCATTTCAATTTTGCAAATTGTCATGAAAATGTCGTCCATTCACAACTTTTATAAAAACATTTCAAGCAATGGTAAATGTAATAAAAACGCTTAGTCAAATACGTGACACGCTGTTTTCATCATATGACGTAGCTACTTAATAATTGACGTCTTCTGGCGTCTGTCTGACGTTGCCTTAAGTCTAGGGCTCGGCACAGTTCAAGGCTAGACATTGTATTTGATTCCTGTAATATTCCATTTGCATTCTGCCAATAACGGAATTTCATATCATTATAGCTGAATTATATTTTTTTTCCATTTGTCATCGTAAAAGAGACATAGGAATCCTAAGAATTTCGTTGAAGATACGTTTATTCCTAGAAATTATTCGACATCGATTTGTAGCTATTTCATATATATTTTAGACATATTACGGTTAAAGCTTTTAGGTTTAGTACATGTTAAATTAATTATAAAACTTATTTTTAAAAAACTAGTCATTATATTTGGATTTATTAAAAATAAAAATTAATTCTACACAATACTTTATAAAATTGTAATTATTCGGTAAAAAATAATGCCCAAACGATTACATTATTAGATATATTACATTTCAAAAATAGAACATTTTCCCAATTCCACGAAACGTTGCCATATTGTAACAAGGTTATCTACATAAGTAGAGCATCCTGATCGAATCTGTGACAGTGGTGTTGTGGTAGGTCAGCACTCGCGTATGGGCTGCATTCCGCGCCGGACGCTACTAAAATAAACCATAGTGTGAACGAACGACGAAGCGGTAGGGTTGCCAGTGAAAAGGCTACTTGCCAGCCCTTATATTATAAGCCCCTCCTCAGTCGCAGATTTAATACGATGTTACAGCGGGGTTTGGTTTCACCCTGTTCTTATTTCAGTGTCTTTATTTCTGTACCTTAATTCATCGAATCTTATTTCCACCAAAAATAAATAGTATGTGCCTAGTTTTTACTATATAAAAATAATGCTTTTATGTTCTTTTAATTGCATATAAAGTAAATGCATGGTAGACAACATTACTTAATGTAACGATAAGAGGAGACTTGCAAACGCAAAAATTTTTTTGTTTCTCTTATATTTCGCTGAATTAACTTGAAGTCGTAGATTTAAATACAGATAGCCACATACTTCCGAGTCTACATCTAATAAATGTTTCAATTACTAATACGTTTAAAATCTCTTCATAAAAATACAGCATTAATTACAATACGTAATATGCCTTATACTACAAAAACACTATGAGCAGCGCCTTATGCAACCCATTTGTAAATACGTGCCGGACCGCATCGCTATTTACTTATCGTAACCGCACGATAACGGAACAATGAGACTACCAGATACCTTGCGCAGACGCTTATCAAAGTCAATAGTCTTTTGTACATTATCCAGTATCCTAATAACGGACGCTTTGATATAAAAAAATCCTACTATATACATTTGCCTTTGTCACTTATATATTATTAAACTCTTTTACAGTAAGTATTATATATTGTTCTAAAGTAAAACTCTTTACGTCAATTGTTATTTACACTGCGATGACGACTGTCTTTTATCCTAAAAGAACAACTCAGCTTTAATTACATTAAATTAAATTAATTTACGGTGCAACGCTTGACAAACCTTGAAAAGAATTACTCACTGACATTGACATTAGCTAAAAGATCTGTTGTAAGTGTCATAATAGAATAAGGGCTATAATGCCGTGGAAGTATGGAAGTCCCATAATCCTCTGGTAGGTTAGAGCAGTCCGAAATTAGGTGGACACGTTTTACTGCGTTATTGTTCTAGGTAACGTGGTGATTAGTAACAAAGGATTAGAAAGGAATAAGTTTTGTACCTGCCTATTCAAATATTGTTTCCCAGAACTAAACAACCTTCTGACTAAAGTTAATGTAACCAAACGAACGAAGAGTTATCGTGCATTAATACCACCAAGATACTTTTAATATCGATTATATGATAGTTTAAAAGGATCTGTTAGAAATATATTTTTCAATAACCTATTCCCATTCATTAGAATAAACTTTCTCAAGGTAAGACTACGTTTAATGTTTAGCTTTATTTTAATTAAAATAATTAAATACTAAGAGAAAAAGATTTTTATAAATTACAACCAATGACCCACTCACTCGCTTTAACGTCAATCTCCACTACGACTAAAAGAAAAGACTTGATTTTGGTTGCCTAACAACAGTTTTCTTCATTTAACTCGATAACGTCAGGAAATGCGCAATCGCTTCAGCATTACAGAGTATTCATAAAAGTATATATCGAACTGTAAGCCTTTTTTGGTTTATTTACATTTCGTTAAAAACGATTAATAAGTATATATTTTAAACCAAAAGCGTGGGTCTAGCCCACGTGTGATAAAATGGTATTTTAGCAATTATTATTATCAGTGAAAATAATAACTCATTATCATAATGTTAATATAATTTGAATATAACATTTAACCTTTAACCCGTCAATGTGTTTACGTTTACATAATTTAATGTTGACAGTGTTTTGTTATTTAGATAACGCGTATACGTCAGTTAAAATTGTTTTGGGTTCGAAGTAAACGTTCTAAGAACTAAGTCTTACATTTTTTCTTTCTGACATATTTAATACTTAAAGAAAAAACTTTTTGACCGGATTAAAGTTATGTATTATTATAAATTTACAATTATTTAACATAATTTTAAATTTATCCGACGTTTCGCGTGCTTTACAGTGCGCGTAATACTTTCAATCTTAATTGATGAAGAAGTACCAGGACTTACGGAGTGTGAGAAGGTAATTTTTTCTGAACACATTTTAAATAGCAAGCTTAGTTTTTCGTTTCAACCTAAGTTGACGCATTGATAACTAGGAATGAAGAGACGGTAAAAAAATCTATATTTTTATAATTTTCTTTTAGATGGCTTTCAAATTAGAAAGGCTGTCCCCTTTTGTGCCTTCGATCCGAAACATGTGTTGTGCATATTTAAACACAGGAACTTCCGCGCTAATGTATTTTTGTTAACGCCTTGTTTTTAATTCATCTGTCGTAAAATACAATCTTGGTGATTTATAAAAACGATGTTAATTTCGGACAAAAGGATTTCCAAAAAAAAACTCATATAAATTCCGCTTTTATATAACTTTGCTATTGCATAATGTAAATGTTTAACAATTCGGCTATACTTACATAATACGATAAGAATCAGTTATCAAGAGTATTATCTGTGTTTCAACAAGCAAGTGCAGTGCAAAGTGCCTCATAACTAATTCGTTTTCTAAAATGGTACTGTCAACTTCCCATATTATTATGCGTGAGTGTACCGGAAAAAGGTAACTGGACGTTTCCGGTTCTATAAATTATGGTCTAAATAGGCATAGACTATTAATAGTCTGTATGTCTTTACGATTCTAATTTGTTGATTTTACGACCTCTTTAAAATTCTGTTGAAAGCTGGTAATGATTTTAATTATTTTATTACTGTTATCTTGATGTGTTTTAGGGCTTTAGTGACTTTTATAGTAGGTATGGCAACCAACATTTATCAGTTGTGAGTTACGACCTTCGCAAGCGCATTTTGATAAGAGATAATGAACTGCTAGGTATTTTAATACCAGAGCACCTATTGCAGTCAGTTTAAGTTTCAAGTTGTTTCTATGCTTTTTTTTCAATCATTTTTTTAAATTGGCGATATTTTTATTATAATAATTGCAATATAGTATATTGAACAAACGTTTCCGCTAAAAGTGTGTTAAGTACAGTTCAGCTCTAAGTTAAAATATTGTAAGCAATGTTACACAACATAGATATAGATAACATAAAGATATCTTTTCTAACAATCCGTTTCCCGTAGCTGATACCGGCGAAATCAGCTGACGCTGACCGAGCGTAGTTTAAACTTTCAGTACTCGGTTCTGAACATATTCAACACTGAAACGGCTTACCGAACGATGTTTTGATAATCCGTCGAATAATGACAGATTGTACACAATACGACGTATTACGCGTAAGCCGACACTGTTTATCAACAGGTACCTTCAACGTTCGGCAAACCAAATTCTTCGAATCCCTGGTATCGTAATTTGCCAATTACATTTGAGCGGCTTAAAATAGACAATTAGGCATGCATCGATCGCACTCACCGTGCGTTACTTGACGGCGTGATCAGCTGAGACCACTGATGCACTTAGCACTGTGGTTTCCGGTTCCAAGGCTGGACAGCTTCCAGATGCACTCGCGCCGTCTGCCGAATCACACACACACAGACTACACGTCAGAGGACAGCAAATTGCATCGCGTGTCTCGCGTACTAGCAGCGAGAGTGTCGGCCGGCGACTGAGCCTCGGAAGCGCGCGGGGGTGAAGCGCCGCCGTCCCGCGCCGCCCACTTCCTCAGATGAATGACAATAATGGAAGACGTTCAACTCGCCCGCAAACCGAATAATATGAATCATTGCATTAGGGTGCAGCCCCGCCCGAACTTGCATGATTGTGAGCTTATCTTCATGCTTCTGAAAACCTTGATGCATCTGTTGTACCGACATTCTGAATAGCTAATAAAGGAAGCTATTCTTTTTTTTTTTTTTTTTTTGAGAAAGAGGGGTTTTTTTTAAGCCTTTAGAACAAACCTTGCTTTCGTCTGCAGTTTTATTCACAGTAAATCTGAATAAAACGTGGCTTATATTGCTTTTGGACATAGAAACTGTTTTTTGTAAAATAAATATGTATATAAATTATTTGTAATTTCGACAAGGAAATCATTTTATTAAAAATAGTCATTTTCGACCAAATAATACAATCACCATTTTTCTTTTGCAATTTTTTTGTTGTAATACTGATTCAAGAACTGGTCCCGTTCTACGGTATTGAATATTTAATGTAAAAAAATATGGAATATTCGCATGCATACAGGAATTTATTTTATTTATCACTCTGCATTTGCGTAGGCGCAGCAGACAAAAATAAACAGAATACAAGTTACTCTGCAAGTTGGTTTCATGACAGACATACAATGCACGCAGAACGCCTACATGGGCTATTTTCACTTTTTTCATCAAGGACACCCAGGGCTTGTAGTAGTAGGAAAACATTTGTTCCATTTTCAAAATATTTGTAGGACTTTTGGGATGAGAGATCTCTTAAAATATGGTATATTTAAGATTATTTTTCCGACCCAAATATCGACCAATAGAATTGCACCATTCGACGTCACGTGGTACAACCTACATGGTATTATACTGATAATTTTTTGAAAATTTTCTCTGGTAGTTGCTTCAAGAAAAGTATTAAGTAGTTGTTTTATTCATTATGAAATTCTTATTTGTTAACTGTACATTTCGTCTCATGGTGCAATTCTATTGGCCGACATTTGGGTCGGAAAAATAATCCCCCGAATACCACACGAGCTTCAAAATTATCTGGCATTGCCCTCAAGGTTCCCTGCAAACAAATAAAGTCGTCAAGTTTTTCAAATCACTCGCGCGAAGCGCTCGTGATTTTTTAACCTGAAAAACTTGACTCCTTCATTTGTTTGCAACGAACCTATCGGGAAATACCCGATAATTTTGAAGCTCTTGTGGTATTATAAGTGAATATTTTATTAAACAAAATAATAACAAAACAAGAAGAATAAAAAAAGGTGTTCTAAGCACATATTTTTATTTCTCTCGAACATCCTGACAAAGCTCTATTATTCACCTTTAAATCGTGATTTAATTATTGGACGTAGCGAATATGAGCACGAATTAGTAATACGTCACCTGAAGCGGAAATAAAGTCTTTTTACCTGTATTAAGTCTATACAAATTTCTTAACTTTGGAACTAAATATATCCAGTAAGTGCCTTTCATTTTCAAGACAATTATAAATTTTCCGTGCAACGAACTCGCATTGTCCCAAGAGAAAACCACTAATTTACCTTGAGTGGACACAATTGGAAACACGAGAGGGCGTTGTATTAGATTAGCTTAGATAAGATTAGTGGCTGCAGATATTGCAGTATATCTTCTATAAAGCTGTTTTTCCCGCCTCAGATGCGTACGCTAACGTCATTAATCTCTTCTCTTCATCTCTCAATATGAAGGACTAGGCACAGCATCTTGGTCCAAGCCTCAATTTGCATTCTTTGACCATTTCTATCCCATAGACAAGTGGGTGATCAGTTTTCTATCTTACGCATGTATTCGATTTTTTAATTTGACACATGCCGGTTTCCTCACAATGTTTTCCTTTGCTGTGCTAGTGTTAGATGCGCACGTAGACATAGAGTAAGTCTTATCCAAAGTGCATGGCCGGAGATAGAACCTACGACCTCAACGATGAGAGTCGCACGCTGAAGCCACTGGGCCAACATATTTAAATTTACCTAAGAGCTACGATTTACCGATCGGTTCATACTATTTCTATATAACCCTCGCGGATTAAGATGGATAAGAAATGGATAAACAAATTTTCTCTTCCAAAGATATACCGCTATATTCAATATCATGAATATATACTGTTTATAACAAAACTTACCTACGATTTTAGATATGCAGTGGAGATGTGGGGTCTCTCTACATTATCTACCGCATTTACCATGGAGTTCGGATTAATAGCCGCAGCTGGGGAGCCTTCATCATCGGTCGTCGAGGCAGACTACGAAATTCTACCCAATTATCATCCTCGACGGCCGTCGTTTCAGTACTGAGCGTTTTTTAAGGTTTAATTTTGGGAAATCAGCTGCTCATTGATGTATTTCCGAACCAATTCCACTAAGGATTCTTCAAGCGTATCAATTCTTAAAAGGCCAGCAACGCATTTGCGAGCCTTCTGGCTCAGTGGGTATCATTTAACAACAGATGAGCCTTTTGTCCGTTACCCCCTTGTTCTATAAAAAAATTCTAGAAGTCTCTTACTAAAATTATAAATAGTCCGAAGAAATACGACATCTCTGTATCTTTAGTAGCTTTTTCGTGAAAACCTTATCTAAATCCATACGTACATACATACATATGCACACTAACAATCTTAGTAAGAAGTAGGCTCATGTTCTAGATAGTTGACCAAGAATTTTGGTTCCATCTACTATGAAAATACAGGAAAATTATATAATTTCTGATTTTGATCTAATCTGCTTAATTTTTATTAATTAATTCTTTACTATACAGTGTTTTTGAAATATCATTTAACTTGTACACTGGGTATTGATAGTCGCAATCTACCGCAAATCTCCGCAAAACCAAAAACATTGTTTTTGACTTTGGCAACAAATATTCACTATAATTAAAGTCTAAGCTAGGATAAAAAGTGCAATTGCTTTAAATTGCATTATAGTTAGCTAAACAGTACTATAGTATGACACTAAATTCAATCGCCTGCTTCGAGGCAATAGTCGTGCGTAGTAGCGTTATCAACCAGACTGCACTTTAGCCCTTCATAAATATTTACAAAGGCGGGACTCGGGTTATATACGAACGATTAAAATTATAAACTGCTATAAAATCATATTGTAATTTCCTTTGTCTTTTTTTAGTTTAACCATTGCCTTTATGCATTTATGGTAAATTAAAAAAAAAATAATCCGTAAGTAGAGTTGTATAATTTCTTGTAAATTTTTGCTATTACTAAATTAGGCTTAATTGAAATGTCTCAGTCACAAATAGTAAAATGACATACGTAACTCATTCGAACAGGTCCTTGCTTCAGGGTTCGATACCGGGCGCAACAAAGATTTTTAAATTTACAATGGACCTTCTTTTTCGTGTATCTATTGAAACTGATGTTCTGCATAATTACATATACCTATTCGTCCTATTGGGTTATGGAATACTGGATTGGACAATTTATTAATTACAATTGACCTCGGATTTTGACGATGTTTTCTTGATTATTTTTGATAACTTTGCGATCTTTAAGGTAAACCCTTAGCCACCAACAAACATTACTCTAAATGCAGATGGAAATTTTCGATTATATCACGCAATATGTATTTCGCAACGTCTTCGCACCCTTAGAACATATTACAATTTACAGTACAATTTAATATCACAATATACGGCTCTTTATTTGCTATTTGGACAAATTTCCAACTGTTCCATCATAGACCAGTAAATAAAGCAGTCTCCCCCAGTGTATGCGAATCGTCTAGCCAGTTAGCATTGTCGTTGTCGAATTAACGTCTCTTTGTTTACCTTTTCCCTATAGTGATTAATCGAGGCTCTGTGGTCCACGCGCATCTATGATTCACATTTCATTTGGGCGTCCTCACATAGACCCTACACAATATATTCTAATTCTTTAGACAACAAAGTAGGTCTTTTACCACATTATGTTATATATCGGAAATCATTTTTCCAAACGGGCAAACAAAGCAAACGCTCATCTGATGTTAAGTGATACCGCCATGGACACTTAATGCCGGAGGGATCGCGAGTGCGTTGCCGGCTGTTAAAATACACAGGCAATGAAAGTATAGAGAAAGAAAGTAATTAGCCGCGTACTGACTGAGCGAGCAGCCTCGCGAAGCAGCCTCGGACGTTTGCTTCGCAACGTTTGCCGCGCGAGGCAGCCTCGGTCTGTAAGTTTTCTAATCCGAGGCTGCCTCGCGCGGCAAGTCCGAGCCATCGTGAGCATCGACGCTCAGTTTAACTTGAAGTCGAATAGAGACCGCGCGTGCCCGTATAGTTTGCCCGAGACCACCATGAGGCCGCACATTCGGAAAGCTGTCGCTACCACTGCCTTTTTAATAATTCTAAGGCTTGCAAAAAAAAGAAAACAGAAAACTAAACGTTTTTGGATTAAACTCTTATACAAAAATAGATTACAGGCTGGGAACAGATTATTTGAAGAGTTGTGCTTCGATGACGAAGAAAAAAATTTCACTCGAATGAGTAAAATCGAATTTGACAATGTGTATTCTCTCATAAACGCCAAAATAAGCAAGAAGGACACAAATTTTCGAGAAGCAATATCCGCTAGGGAAAGATTATTAGTGACGTTGAGATTTTTGGCCACAGGAGATTCTTATACCAGTCTACAGTATCTATTTCGTATATCAAAACAAAGGATATCGGTTATAGTTCCTGAAGTCTGTGATGCTATAATTGAGGTGTTAAAGGATTATGTTAAGGTAAAATAAAATTACATATTTTTATTATTTTTTTTATTAATCTGATTAGAAAATTGGACAAATAATATAAGAAAATTAAACAAACAAATATTTAATGATGAGGAGCTGGAGAAGGAGGAGGGGGAGGCATCGAAATTGGTGAGATAGGAGGCATTGGTGAGGCAGCAGGCATCGGTGAAGTAGAAGGCATCGATGAGGCAGGAGGCATCGGTGAAGTAGGAGGCATCGGTGAAGTAGGAGGCATCGGTGAGGTAGAAGGCATTGGTGAGGCAGCAGGCATCGAATATGTAGATGGCGTCGATGAGGAAGAGGGATGAGACATATATCTTAAATTATCGTGTTCACCATATGATTGAGTATAATAACTATAACCACTGTATGCTCCCATGTCTGCATCAAAGATAATTTTATTTATTGCATTTTTTTACGTATGCT